CGTACGTTTACGGGTTTGCACGAACAGGTTTGATTGGTAAAAGTGAGAAAAAAAATGAATTAGTAAGGAATGTCATTATGGTAAAGATTAAAAAATTAGAGACTAAAAAATTTATTTACTGTGGCTGTAGAATTGGAATTATTTTAATTGAGTCTAAATTAAAATGTAATTATTTGATTCTCCTTTGAAAAAATTTATAAATATAAAGAGTAATAGTAGAAAGCGTCACCAAATGTACAAATAATAATAAATTAATCTATAATATATTAAGATCACATCAAGTGAAAATCATTTTTGGAGCGATTCTAACTCTACTATAATTCAATTATTTTAATAATACATTATTTTTTGTTTTTCAATTTGTATTTAATTTAGGGATAATTGCAGCAGAAGTCCCAAACCTTTCAAATAGTTGCAGACTTTCCCTTGACCTTTCATTCGTTACAATCGTCACCCCTAACCTTTCGAAACGTTGCGGTTGAAGCGTCAATGAACAGATTCTATCCATATGTCTGTTAGTTGACCAAGAAATTGAATTTGTCCACATTTTTTCATATTTTTTGTAAAGGGCATAATGGTATCTTTTAATTTACTACATTAAAATAAGTTTAAATCAAATTAGAGAAACAAAAAAATAAAGAAAAATAAAAACTGTAGATCTTCTTCCCCCCAAATTATCCATCATCTTTTTCACCCACCCACCCCAACCCACCCCACCCCACCCCAATTCTACATAATTTGCAGTCATCGCCTTTACTCCCCACACTCACACTATTCCTAATTACCACTCTTAAATCATGTCACCCACGTGCCACCATAGATTAGTTAGTACTCGCATTTCCTCTCTCCTCTCCAGCATTTCATCTGGTAATTGGTATCATATCCTCACATGCCATAAACGTTTCTCTTTTTCTCTCTCTCTGGGTTTGAATTCGAGCGTTTTTATATATAGCTGGCCATGGATTTACTCCTTTTCTGCCAAAGAGAGAGAGAGAGAGAAACTAATGCAAATTCTTAACTCTGTTGAAGCTTCTTACATGTACATACACCTATAGATACAACATTTATGTGTTTCTATATGTATAGACATTCTTTTCTTCTTTACCTTTTATTCCCCTTTTTCTATTTCTCATTTCCTTTTGGGGGTTGGGGGATTGGGGTGGGGTAGGTGAAAAAGATGATAGATAATGTGGTTTTAACTATCGTGGTGGAGTAGGTGAAAAAGGTGAAAAAGATGCCAGATAATTTGAGTTAGGTTGGGTTGGGATGGGGATGGGGAAAATAAAGAAGATCTACATTTTTTATTTTTCTTTATTATTATTATAATTATTATTGTTGTTGTTATTGTTGTTTCTCTAATTTGGTTTTAACTTATTTTAATGTAGTAAATTGAAAGTTACTATTATGCCTTTTACAAAAAAATATAAAAAATGTGGTCAAACTTAATTTCTTGGTCAACTAGCAGGCATTTGGATGAAATCCGTCCATTAGGGCTTCAACCACAACGTTTCAAAAAGTTAGGGGTGACGGTTACAACGAATGAAAGGTTAGGGAAAAATATGCAACTATTTGAAAGGTTTGGGGCCTCTGCTGCAAGTATCCCTTCAATTTATTTAAGCATTTAATTATCATTAATGTACATGTACATTTGACATATTCATTTAACTTGTATGCTTTAACTAATTATGAATTCACTATTATTAATTCTTAATTAATTAATATTCACATTCATTTAGCTATTGTTTGATCTCCATTTCATCATTATTAATTTAGAATTTCATATTCAAGAATGCAATTTATTATTCATGTCCATGTATGCTAATTAACATTTAATTTTACTTAATTGGAATTAAATATTACATCAATTGAGAATAATTTTTTGAACGGTTTTAGCTCTATAATAATTCAATTATTTCAATAATACTATATTTTTCTTTTTTCAATACTATTTAATTTATTTAACCATTTAGTTACCATCAATGTAAATATACATTTGACAGATTCATTTCACTTGTATACTTTCATCAATGTATGAATCATCTACTATTAATTCTCAGTTAATAACGAATTCTATAGTCTCAAATGACCTTGTTGCGGAAGCTCAATTTTTCTGTAAATTTTATTCTTAGAAATGGGTGAACTGGGTTTCACCCAACAATATGCGTAAAACAATCCAAGTCAGCCAGACTGAAATTGGCCACACAAACTCGAGCTCGAAAGAAGAGGAAATCAATTTGCGAATGTACATTGGATAGGTAGAGGCTTCTGGTTCACATTCATTTCATTAATATTTATCTTCATTTATGCATTTTAGTGTTATCAATGTAATAAGTTAATTAGAGTTTCACATCCAATAAATGTAGACTAATTAACATCAAATTTTAATTAATTGAATTAAATAAATGATTTAATATTCATTGTCACGTATATATTTCCTAGTAATAATTTTAAATTAATTAGCATTCACGCATATTCAAATATTATTTTGACAATACTTATAAAATATTTTATAATAATATGCAACCACATCTATCATTGACTAGACAGATTGCAGATATCATTTCATTTAACAGAGATGTAGTCTCCCACATCTTCAGAGAGGGAAATCAAGTTGCAGATGCACTTGCTACCGAGGGTTGGCATCATCTTAGATACCAGAAATATGGACCAGTAGACCTACCACGACATATGAGAGCGCTTGTTCAGATTGACAGGTATAGATTGCCCAACACTAGAGTTTAGGTTTTTGTATTTTGCTTTTACT